TAATATATATTATCTATATGCTATTATCATAGCATCTAGAACAAAAGCAGACACACCACTGTGTTAAACATCTAAAATGCAAAGACAGCCCCTGCTGCAAGTTAGAACTACAGAAGAAAAAGTTCATTTGCAAATGGAGATATGGGAATGAGGAGACACTCCAGTCTAACAGTAAACAAAAAACGTGCTGGAATGTGACAGAAAATTGGACTGTTTGCACTGGGCAACATCCAAACAGCAGCTATAACATACAACATCTGTTTTGTAATGTGTGTAGGACTATTTAGATTTCAAAGTGACTGGTAGCAGAGGGCCTAATAGCCCAGAGCGGCTAAGTTTTCAGTAGATCACACTGTTTTCATCAATTTCCTTTCCAGAATTATCAAGTCTAGTTAATTTTCTTTTTTTGTACCAGTGCCGTTCCTCAAAACACCACTGAAGTTGTAAGAACTGCTAAACTAGAGAATAAAAGTAGTATATTATCTGTGAAGACTAAATAGGTCAACTCAATAAGTCCTAGTCTTGCCTTAACTTGAACCCAGAGTACTAAACTGACAAGCTGGCCATAGAAAAAGACCAACATTTTACAGCAGTTTGGACTCCAACCACAACAGCTTTGCTAATTTTTGCAGCTGCACTGAAACCTAAACTTCTGGATGTTCTGTAGCTCCTGATAGCCTAGATCTGTGAAATAGCTGCACATGCTAGAATAAGTGAGTATAAAACCAATTTTTGGCATTAAGGACAAAGATAATTTTGCTTCAATAGGGAGACAAATCCTGATTCCCTTATTTATGAATAGACTTACCTCAAAAACTAGTTTGAAAGTTATCTTCTTCCCCTCTCTCCATACGAAGGTCTTCAGCTCTCCAGTGTAATAGACATGCACACTCTGTGCAAGTCTTACACTTGGTGAGAACTGCTGAAACAGCAGTGAAAGAAATGCTTTTCTTTCCTCTTTTATATATTCTCCAGGCATCCATCAAAGTATACAATCATATGTGAACAGAGAGCAGATATGCGTGCCTGTGATGTGGTATAGTAATGGTGGTTCTTCTTCCCAATTTATAACAAGAACAAGTAACAGTGCTTACCCTCTGCTGGTCAAATAACGGGCCGCAGGACTATTTCTTGCTATATTTCCAGCTGGAGATATGTGGTCAGTTGTCACAGAATCCCCAAAACTCAACAGGACATAAGCATCTTCTATTGTTTTCGGGGTCTGAAGAGTCAAAGTCTAAACCATCATAAATACCAAAAAAATCATTAAAATATGACACAGAATTCCTTTACCTTTTTCAAAAAGTCCAAATTTCAAAATAAAGTCTCCTTTTTTATATGTTAGAAGGAAGGAAAAAACCAATCCTATTAAAAATGTTTACGTTCTTGAACAAAATATGATGTCCTGGCTGCCTGTCAGGAAGTTCATGCACAAAGAAAATAGATGAAGCAAAAAAATTAGCCGAGGCCTCACGTGGTAAATGCATGAACACAGATAAAAATCCAGGATTCCTAGATATCTGCATGCATTGAAGTCTGCATCTTCTTTTAAATGGTACTGAAATAGCAATCTGAACACTGAACTATTTGGTGCAAAACGCTGGCAGGCAGAATTGTGTTTTGTTTCCTGTCCTTTTCCCTCACTTGCTTTGTGACTACTTAAAAGTATTCCAGCTTAAAAGGAAAAGGGGACTTTTCAAAAGCCCTGAAGTGATACGGAATCCTTACAATTTTCAGATTGACTCGTGCTTTTGTATTAAAATGAATATAGTAGTGTAATTGTAACATTTGAGAACCAAGGCCGCAACAGACTATGATGGATGCTCCCAGGCCTCTTGAAGTGGGCTTTGCTTCACCTTTAACATTAGTCAGGGTCCTACATACTTTGGCTTGATTTGGAGGGAAAGCATGCACATACCAGACCATCAAAGAAAGGTGGAGACTTGATGTAAGTTGACTTCGGATTCCAAGTATATAGTTTATCTGAAGGAGCATTTAAAGCATTCCAAGATTTATTTATTGTCTGAAAAAAACCACAAAAACATCCCATTGATTTCTAAGTTTCCAGAAGCAAAGGAATTACTTCAGAATCCAGTTAAAATGACAAACTTGACTCCAGCAAAAACCCTGTGTATTTTTAAAGCACTTTGGGAAATTCTTATGACAATACACATTATGTCTATTTTTTTTTTTTTAATGATTTTATCTATTAAGAGAGTTAGGAAAACCCTTACTTCATTACAAAGGAAAAGCTGCTCACCCACTTTTCTGACAACAACCTGTATTATGTACACAGATAACACTTTATAATTCTCAAGTGTATTTATCAGTAATCTTAAGAAGCTTTCCTAGCATGTAAAACTTAAGAATACTTTGTTTCAATACCTGTGAAAGGCTTGCAGGAAGACATTACCAAGTACAAGTTTTTTTCTGATGTGAATGCTATGAAGTAATGCAAATGAATTTTATGTCATGTGAAAAAAACAAGCATCTGTGAAGCTGGAATAGCTCACTTTCTAGTATCAGCCTGGGATTACTGTTTAAAACACATCATCTATATGTTACATTAAAAAAAATCACTAAGGAGCAATTTTCAGGACATGACTGTCTCCAAGAATCAATTAACTAACTAGAAGCCATTACAAAAATATCATTTGAATACTTCTCAGAACAGGAGCAACAGAACAGAAGGAAAAGGTTTGTATCATTACCAAGGCCATCTTATTTAACACCTTCAGAATAGCACAGTACATCAATCAAACTATTGCCCAGGGGATTAACTCACCTCTATTTTTTGGTAGACCTCCTTGAACATCCCAGGAATAACAAATTGACGCTCAACAGCCTGAATCTCATTTCTTGTTGGCCAGATATCTTTCAGGAAAACCTTCTTCCCTGAAGCATTTATTCCTGTAGAAAATGGTATTGTTACGTTTGTTGCATAAATATTCCATTGAGAAAGAAAGAAAAAGTTTATCATGGTGTTCTTTAGCTATGTGTTCCTTCAAACACCATCAACACTCATGAGACCCACTTTGTTTCACCTTGCAGGAGTCTGGTAGAGGAGTGCCTCAGACCTGATGATACCTGTACATACATCTTCTTTTGTGATTTCCAATGGCTTTCCAGAATAGTTTATAGAATAATTTAGGCTGGAAAGGATTTTTGAGGGTTGTCTAGCTGAACTACCTGCTCAAAGAAAGTCTACTAGGTCAGATTGCTCATGAGAGACTGCCACCCAGATATAACCGAAAAGATGCCCCTATAGAATTAGAATGCTGGTCAGACTTGGCTTTCCCCTTTCTCCATCATACAGATGTCTTGTTGCTGTTTCTTAACAATTGCATGCTTTGTATTCCAGAGGTAGTCAGTCATTTGAGCATGTCCCTAGGACAAATGTTTCTGAAGAGCTTAATTCCAACTAGTTTATAAGCTATGAAAAGAAGCATCCCGACACTATCTTACCCAAAGGCTCTCTCTCAAAGTCGATCCGGACAGTCCCTGCAATTGCATAGGCTATTACCAGTGGTGGGGAAGCTAGGTAGTTAGCACGGGTGTTGGGATGGACACGCCCTTCGAAATTCCTATTGCCAGACAACACACCCACCGCTACGAGGTCTCCCTGCAAAAGAGAGTTTGAAACAAAGGTAGCTGAGGTGCATGCAGACTCCACACACCCAGCACATCTGCAGAACTGCACTGTGCTGCATCATCAATGACTGGACAGTCACAGCACTGTCTGCTTCCAAACAATCCCAAAGCATTTCACACAGAAAAGAGAATATAGACTGAATTTACATTACACGCAGCTAAGAAGAGTCAGTGCACAGTGTAACACAGCTCAGGACAGCACACAACAGAGAACAGCTTGCCTAAGTAAGCTGCACAGGAAAATCTGCATACCTGTGTAATGGCCTCAACAACAGACTCTGGTAGAGGTCCACTATTGCCAATACAAGTCATACAGCCATAACCCACCACATCAAACCTAGAGAGAGCACAAAAATCAGTGAACAAAAAGCTATTTTGGAATAAGACATTTGAAACCCTTAGCAGTTGGCTAGGGCTACCTTCAGAAGATGTACTGTTTTAACAAGCTGCTGCCGAAAACAGCATTTTTGAGAATACTCAATTTTTATCATTGCAGTGACTGTCCATGCACAGAATGAAGAGCTGGGAAATGTGTTATCTAGCAAGATGAACAACAATATAGTGTCATTTATGCTATTTTAAAACCATTAGTCTTGAAAAACAACCCATTTTCCTGCTTAAGAACATGAGTCTTCAAGAAGCTACAGAGCAGGCAACAGGCCTTCTCCCTCACTGGCACCATATCAGCCAGCACAACAGCAATGCCTTAACTCATGCAGGATCATGTCATAGGGTACCTGCCATATCTTTTACGCTGTGAAGAGAAATAGTTATTCTGTTGCATTGTTTGTTGTCAATGCCTTTAGTTAAGCAGCCATAGGACAACAGTAAGAAAAGCACTCTTACCCTAGTTGGGAAAGGTAACTCATAACTCCACTCTCCCTCAGATAGTAAGTGACAACCCCGCTTCCTGGGGACAGGCTAGTTTTAATGTATGGTTTCACTGTCAAACCCGCTTCAACAGCTTTCTTTGCAAGTAATCCTGAAAAAATGCAAAGGATAGTTGCAGTTTTTCTTGGAAGTGGGACAGTTTGGTGGATCAACAGGTTAACAGAAGTACCATTAAATAACTGGAAAACAGAAAAGGCTCCATTTCCAGCAATGAAGTGGTACAGTGAGCCAACAGCACTAATACCAGAATAACCAGCTAAAGCTCAAATGCTCTGTTGAACTGTAGATCCAGTCTGTGATTTCTGCTCCATTGGAAAGTTTCTGGGAGTTGTATTCAACACAACGCCCTCACACTGTGGCAGCATGTAAACATTCAAAACTCAGAACACTATTCTTAAGTCGTCTTAAGTGTCTCAGAAAAAAATGCAATGAAGAACTGTTGACTTCCCACTTATGGTGGTCCAGTGACCCAGTGCTGAAATAGCTGCCAACACATGACTTGCTGCCCTCAGAAGCAGATGGCTCTGAGGGCACTGAATCTGTCCCTTGTCACAAACATGCTATCTCATAATCTACAGCTTGTTGCAGGAGTGCTGCTTTACCACTCCTGGATTTGTAACATGCATAGAGATGTTTTAGCAGAGCATGTGTGTTACCAAAAATATACTGATGCTGAATTTCTTCCTTTTAAACAAATTGTCCATACATAGATGAACATTCAGAAAACAAGACTCCTGCAGCCCTTTCCCAGGATGAACATAAAAGCAGCAGCAGCTATGCAAACAATGCAAAATTTCACATTCCCATGCTTCATTCTCGCTCTCACACATCCACTTAGATAAGAAAATATACATCAACTCTGCTTTGATCCAACATGATCCCCAACAGGAAGATGTCAAACTGTTTTGTCTTAGCCTGCTGTTTGGCATCTCTGTTAGAAGTGGAGGTCTCTAGGTCATGTCTAAGTGTTGTTGTGAAAAGGCCTACACAGAGATCTGGAAGCTGAAAGGTAGATATGTGAATTTAAAAAAGCAGTCCTATTGCTGAAATTGCTGAGGCTCCTTAACTGCCAAAGAACTCTGTGGAAACCAAAGCTCTTGGATACTTTTGAAAGTGTGACCATGAACAAATGATCATTCTAGGACCCAAGAGCCTGACAGCCTGTTTGAAAGCATTGGCTTCTGTTTTCCTGACAATACTAGTTCTGAAAAGAATGCAAAAATCGAACTCTAAAAACTGTCAAGGAAATACCAGAACTTAAGTTGCTTTGAGCAGCCTTAATCCAACACCTTTGTAAAGTCAGATTAGGCTGTCAAGGCTACTACAGCCTACGCTCACTACCCCCACAGACACACAGCTCCTGCACATCATTTACTGCACAGTACACACAGTGGTAGTTTGAAACAACTATTCTTATTTTGGAGATCTTTTAGCTTGGTTACTTAGTCTGGGACCACTGCATGTTTTATTTAACTTTCATTTCAAACCCTACTCTGAAATCTAAATTATCATGTTTCTGGTGGGTATCTTGGAGGTTCTCAACACTGTAGTGTACAATTACTGGAGACTGACAGAATTACTTTTTTCCTCCTTGTTGTGGTCAAAGCCTAAGTGCCACTGTACAGTAAGGCAGTAAGAGTACCCACTAAATCTGAGTGCATCCACTGAGATCCGTAGGACTACATTCTTCAGGCTGCTGTGCATTAAGTAGTAGTGAATGTGTTCAAAGTACCAACTTGACTTGTATCTGCACAGCATTCTACACTTTAAACCCACAGAGCTATTAAGCCAAGCAGTCTGAAAGATCAGCATCCCCACTGCCACAGAAAGGGTTAAAAATGCATGCCATTAGCCCAGGAGCCAAACGCTTGAGGAAACTGTATCTTAATCAGGTGGCACAACTGAGTGATACACCCAGTTGTCTGCCTGGAGGAGCTCCTACTTCTTGATCCTTGGAAGAAATACAGCTCTATTTCTGTGATCATAATCAGGATGGACCTGAGGAGAGAAGTATGCTGTCCTGTCAAGGGCAAGTGAATTTGGAGACTTTGTTCAATCCTTTCCTCTCAAAGATGTAAGAAATAGAGCAAGTCTCTCCCCTGCTTCCCCTTCCACCCCACATCCTGGTTTATGATAGACTTTGACCCTGTTGCTAGGAATTAAAAGACCTTTTGTGTCTGGGAAGGGGGAGAGCTGCTGGTACTGTAGAGTACCCAGAGCAAGATGGTAGCCCAAGAACAGGTGACAAATTGACAAACTAAAATAGACATTGACAAACTAAACAAAGTGATTGTTGTCAGAGGCTGTACACAAGCCAAGACTTTCCCAGCACCACACAGGAACAAACAAAACAAATTACATGATTTCAACCAGTAAGTAATCTTCTCTGGTCAAGGGTCCTTGCATTGTCCACAGCATATCCCTTCCAACCTTTATAGAAAATAAGCCTGCATCCTACAAATGATCTGACAGACTAGGAAGCCCTAACGAAGTGATGATCCTACAGTGACAGAAAATACCTACATGTAT